CCCGCCACCCAGGCACGCCCACCGCCCCCCCCCCGCCCCCCGCACCCCTGGCACCGTCCCGCCCCTCCGCCCGCGGCCATGGCAACGTCACGCCCACCAGCCAACACGCGGGTTCGCAGGTCTTGCTTCCGCGTCGCTCGCCCCACCCCGCCAGGCCAGGCCCCGCCCCCGCGCTGTCCTGGGCGGGGTTCCAGACCTCGCTCCCGGGCTCGCGCTTCCTCCTCGCCCCCCACGCCGAGCCCCGCGGCTCGTGCCCCGCCCCTCACCGCGGGGCTCCCGGGGCAGATACCGCCGTGAAGGTTCGCGTCCCGCCGCCGCTGGTTGCGCCCGCGCGCCTCTCGGGCCTCTGGCGGCGGCGGCGGCACAAAGGGAAGCAGCATGTCCGATCCTAGCTACTGGACGGCGGTGGCGGCGCCCGGCCACCGGAGCCGCCTGGCCAAGGGCGCGCTGCTGCAGCGCTCCAAAAGGTAGGGGGCTTCGCGCGGGCAAAGGCGCGGCGGCCGACCGAGCAGACACGAGTTGCCAAAAGTGTGTCTCGGCAGCGCGGGGAGGGCCACTGTGTGCGGCGGTAGGGGGAAGTGGGCGGATGCTTTGGGATCCAGGTATCCCCTGGGGTCCCAGGCACCTTCCTTTCACCGCTCCTTACCCAAATTGGGATGTCTGTCCGCCGGGGTCGCAGCTCAGGTGGTGACAGAAGCAGCAGGGATTTGGGACTGAATCAGGATTCGAACCTGTCCTCTGGGCAGACCTGGGGAAGAGCTTCTTGGAAAAACTGAGGCTGTTTAGTCCCTGGGGCCCAGTCAGCGGAAGCAAATATTCAGAAGCAAATATTTGCTGCAGGAGGATGGTGTGCGTGTCGGTTATGGGGGGGTGGGGGGAAATCGCGGTGTTCTATCCAGAGCAAAGTGGAGTCTCAGTTTCTCCTGAAAGGCAGAGAAGCTAAGTGAGGGCTGTGAGCTCTGCTGGACCTGCGTTGAAATTCCAGCTCAGCCACTGTCAGGCTGTGTGCCTTCAGGCAGTTCCTTAACCTCTCTGTGCTTGAGTGTCTCACCAGTGCTTGGTCAGGGCACCAGAGGGGAGCACAAGCAAAGGCTGGGCGGTGGAACCAGCTGCTGGAGGACCTTGAATGACTAATCCAGGGTTTAGGCTCTTCTCCCAGAACCTGGAGAGCCACAGAAGGCTCATGGGCACCTCAGGGATCAGGTGCAGGAAACTGGCCTCAGGCCCCTCTTTTCTGACATAATTCTCACTCTCTGTTGTGCCACAGGGCTGGTTATTGAAAAACTAGGCAGCTTCTCAGGGTCCTGGGCCTTCTCCAGGGAGGGCTGAGCACACAGTTGGTGCTCAGTAGTTGCCCGGGAATTGAACAGTTGATGCCCAGTTCCCCTTTGAGATCTCAGATTTGGTTGTTTTCAAGAAAGCCCTGCCTGAGAGCAAGAGGGAGGCTCCCAGTGTTTTTCCCAAATGCTGTTGGAAGTGAAAAATGATGCATTGGGGTGCAGTGTGGGGGTGAGGGGCTGGAAGAGGATGTGGGCTGTCGGATGTGTGTGTGTTGGGGGGGTGGTGACAGGAAGTTTTGCAGGAACCTGTGGGTTTCGCTTTTGCTTTTGCATCTCAGACTAGAGGACAATCTCTGTGGCTGATGACATCTGTGGCCTCAGTTTTCCAGGCTGGGAAATGGGTGCAGCTGGTCTCTCCCTCCTCTGGGCTTATTGGTATTGGCAGACGTTGGTGATTTAATTCGCTGGAGAGGCATTGCTTGTCCTCCCACCATGCACCAGGCCCTGTGAGTAATGTCAGGAGAAAGAAGACAATATACGTACGTGCCACAATTTACCCAGTGCCAGGCCCAAAGCTGAGCACTGTGTATGCACCTTTGCAAAGTATACAGATGGGGAAATAGGCTCAGCAGAGCAGCTGCACATGCAGCCGTGGATAGGCTGAACCCCTCCTCCGTGCATGTCTTGTCTCCTGAGACGGTTGCTGACCTCACTCTCCTTGGCCTGCACTGTGCCTTCTGCCTGGGACGCCATTCCTGGCCCTGTGAGGCCCCGAGGTGTCATCTCTCCCTCCCTGAGCAGTCCTCCCGCCAAGGCTGGGCTGCGTTGGCGGCTCAGGCTGTGTGGGCTGATGCACTTGTCGAGAGCAATCGTTGCCGGGCGACTGCTGCAGTGGGTGGGGGGGACCGTGTCGCTCCCAACTTCCCTCTGCCAGGGCGGGGGCTGGGGCCAGGGCACATGTGGGAATTACTGGCAAGGGTAGGGTGGGGGGCGCCTGGGCCAGGGGTCTGGCGGCCAGCAGGGAGCTGGGATGAAGGGAGGAAAACGTGGGCCAAAGTTCGGCAGAACAGGGACTTCCCTGATGGTCCGGTGGGTAAGACTCAGTGCTCCCAATGCAGGGGGGGCCCCAGGTTCGATCCCTGGTCGGGGAGCTAGATCCCACATGCTGCAACTAAAAGATCCCATGTGCCACAACGAAGATCCCACGTGCCGAAACTAAGACCCGGTGTAGCCAAAATAAAATAAATAAATAAACAAATATTTTTTTAAAAAAAACATTCTTTGAAAAAAAAAAAAAAAGTTTGGTAGAACAAGAACAGGACCCAATGTGCAAGATGCTGGCTTTAGGGTTTCCAAGGATCAGATTGGTGTTTTAGGGGGATCTTGGGGAGGGGTTCTGCTCAGAGATTGGAGCAGTGGCCCTGGGAAAAGGTGCATAAAATGGAGTGGGCGCTGCCTCAACCCACCTGTGGGTTCCAGGATCCTCTCCAACCTCTGCCTTATTTGCCATTGTTCCTGGTAGTGGCCACGATGTGGGCAAGGCTGTGGGGGCTGGATTGTGGAGCAACCTTTCCCCCCCTCCCCTGGCATTGCGCGGCATGCGGAACTTCCCCCACCAGAGATTGAACCCGTGCCCCCTGCATTGGATGTGTGGAGTTTTAACCACTGGACCGCCAGGGAAGTCCTGGGCGTGGGATTGTGAACACAGAAGCTGGAGAAGCTGGGCCAGGGCCATGATGTTGCAGCGGGGCGGTCCGCCTGGGGAGCAGAGAGAGAGTGGTCACCCCCAGCTTCCTGTCCTGCCCTGAAGCCATCACCCATGTGCTCCCAGCTGAGCAAGTGGTCCTGTGAAGCAGGAGTCCTGGACCTGAGCATGTGGTCCTGGAACTGAGCATGTGGTCCTGGACCTGAGCATGTGGCCCTGTGAAGCAGGAGTCCTGGACTTGTCCCCACCTCCCCCCCCACAGCTGCCGCAGCGGGAACCGCAAGAGCCTGGTGGTAGGAACGCCCTCGCCGACCCTTTCCCGGCCCCTGTCACCACTGTCCATCCCAACAGGTGAGCGCGGGGGCAAGCCGGGCAGGGTGGGAGTGTCCTGTCTCCACCCCCACTGACTCAGTTCCCCCAACTCCTCCTCAGCAGGCAGCAGCCCCCTGGATAGTCCTCGGAACTTCTCAGCTGCATCTGCTGTCAACTTCCCTTTTGCCCGGAGGTGGGTGGTCTCCGGCTTTGGGGGATGGTGTTGACGTGATGGGCGAGGGGACAGGCAGGGGCATGCACCTGGTGGCTGGACCTGCCTCCTCATTAGCCTTTTCCCCACCCCTGGCCTCTGCCCTGCTGTGGTCTCTCCTCTGGCTTCCGCCCCTGGCAAATGCACACATGCACGCATGGTCTCCTGCAGCCACATCCCGAGCACAGACAGGTAATTTCTATGAGCCCTCCGGGAGGGGCAGGGGGAGGGGGTGGCACGGCTTGGTCCAGGAATCACTCATTCACTGAAAGTTGTTAATTCACTTAACAAGACCTGATGGAGGACCTGTAATGTGCCAGGCACTTAGATGTCACTTATTCATTCAACAACGTTTATTCAGTGCCTGCTGGATGCCATGCCCTACACTGGGGGCTGAGGAATGGGAGGCTGGACTTTGGCCCTCAGGGAGTCCTCAGTCTGGTGGGAGTGGCCAGCGTGTACTCCAGCAGCTGCAACTCAGAGAGCAGCTTTGATGGGGGACGCACTGGCCGCTGGCGTCAGGGAAGACTTCCCGGAGGAGGCAGCTGAAGAACAAGGAGAAAGCACACAGTGGACTTGCTCACCCTGTATTCCTGTTCTTGGCCTTTTCAGAAGGTCCTTCCTCCAATGGGGCCAGGATCGGCCAGCCACAGTGCTTGCCCTTGGTCCCCACAAGCTGCAGGGGCCATGCCTTCCTTCCAACTTCTCATTCTCTCCAGGGCCGACGGCAGAAGATGGTCCCTCGCGTCCCTCCCGTCTTCTGGCTATGGAACCAACACGCCCAGCTCCACTGTCTCGGTACCCACAAGTCCTACCTTGGCAGGCAGACAGGGGAGTGCCAGGTTGGGGATGGGGAAGACACGTCTTTGGGGTTTTTTTTTTTTTGCGGTACGCGGGCCTCTCACTGTTGTGGCCTCTCCCGTTGCGGAGCACAGGCTCCGGACGCGCAGGCTCAGCGGCCATGGCTCATGGGCCCAGCCGCTCTGCGGCATGTGGGATCTTCCCGGACCAGGGCACGAACCCGTGTCCCCTGCATCGGCAGGCGGATTCTCAACCACTGCGCCACCTGGGAAGCCCCTTTGGGGTTTTTTTTAAGGTGTTGGATAGTTATCCAATCATCAGACATCCTGGCTGGCCCCTCTGTGCCCCATTTTGGGCAATGTTGGGGCATCCATGAAAGGACCCAGCCTCAGCCCCAAGGGACTCCTGGTCCAGGATACACAGATATCCTCATCCTTGTGTGGTCAGGGAAGGCCTGGTCAGAGGGGCTCTTGGGGCTGCCAAGGGAGCAGGTAGGGAAGGTTTCCTGGAAGAGGGGACATCAAAGCTGGAGTTTTGAGGGATGCATAGGAGCTAGGCAGGAGAGTTACCATCTGATGACCAGCAGACAGCCTGAGCCTTGAGGGGTAATGCTGGGGTCCTGGCTGTGGCACTGACCATGAACCCATGGCCCCGATACCCCCTCCTGCCAGTCGAGCTCATCCTCCAGGGAGCGCCTCCACCAGCTTCCTTTCCAGCCGACTCCGGACGAACTATGCTTCCTGTCCAAGCATTTCCGCAGCTCAGAGAGCATGGCTGATGAGGAGGGCGGCCACCACTCACCTCACCTTCGGCCCCGCTCCCGCAGCCTCAGGTGGGCCTCGACCTCTGACCCCAGCCCCAGCCCCTCCCTGGGCTGGCTTTGGGACCCACATCGTGGCTCCTCCTCCACCTTTGGTCGGGACAGTGCACAAGCCTGGCCTCCAGCCCTTGGCCCTCAGACCTGACTCAGCCGCCCTTCCCTGGGCTGTGTTTTGTGTCCCATATCATAAGCCAGTTGTCCCCTCCTTCAGCCCTGGACGCACAACAGGCGCCTTCGACAATGAGATCGTCATGATGAATCACGTGTACCGGGAGAGATTCCCCAAGGTGGGCAGTGCCTGGCGGCTAGACCAGCCCCAGCTCCCTCCATGTTGCTGTCCCTCCAATGGCACCTGCTGTCTTCCTGGCTGCGTCCCCCCTATCTGTCCACTTCTGTTTTTCCCTGTCTCTCTGTCTCAAACTCCCCCCTCCCCCACCCGCACCTATACACGTTGCTTCCTTTCCTCCAATCTTTGGACCCCATTGTCACATGTTCTCTCCCGCCCGCATCCGCGCATGTCGCTCCCCAGCCCCATCCAATGACCAGGTCACCCCATCTCCCCGGCTCCCTGCCCAGGCCACAGCACAGATGGAGGGCCGTCTGCAGGAGTTTCTGGCCGCCTTCTCACCCGGCGCCCGGCTGGCACTGGCTGACGGCGTCCTGGGTTTCATCCACCACCAAATCATCGAGCTGGCCCGCGACTGCCTGGCCAAGTCTGGAGAGGCTCTTGTCACCTCCCGCTACTTCCTGGAGATGCAGGAGAAGCTGGAGAGGCTGCTGCAGGATGTGCGTGGGAGCAGGGGAGCGCAGGGTTTAGCGGTCCCCAAGGAGGGCAGGGCGGGACCAAGGGCCTGCGGATGACGCTACCACCCATCTGCCCCCAGGCCCATGAGCGCTCAGACAGTGAGGAAGTTGGCTTCATTGTCCAGCTTGTCCGGAAGCTGTTGGTCATCATCTCGCGGCCAGCGAGGCTCCTCGAGTGCCTGGTGAGTGTCTTGGCACATGGCCAGGTGCCAGGCTGAGTCCAGGCACCCAACAGTCCTGCTGAGATACAAGAGACAGGCCCCATCGTATAGGGCTTTGAGAGGAATGCTGGGGGCTTCCGGGCTGCGGCGGGCTTCCCAGAGGAGGGGCCGGGAGCTAAGATCCCGGGGATGAGTTGGAGCCACTGGTGAGGATGCTTCAGACAGAGGGAGCGGCGTGTGCAAAGGCCTGCAGGTGGGACCAGGCCTCGGCTGACCAACCCCTCTGCACCCCCAGGAATTTGACCCTGAGGAGTTTTACCACCTGCTGGAGGCTGCCGAAGGCCAGGCCCGCGAGGGCCAGGGCATCAAGACGGACCTGCCGCGGTACATCATTGGGCAGCTGGGCCTGGCTAAGGACCCCCTCCAGGGTGAGCTGGGGGTGGGGCAGAAAGAAGAAACGGGGCGAGATTGCGGTGGAGCCAGAATTCCAACCCACGCCCACCTGACTCCAGAGCCGCCGCACTGTCCTTCCTCTCTCTCTGGCCCTGTCCCCAGCCACCTGCAGGGCATATTATGGGGAAAGTGCCCAGGATTCCGGGCTAAGGTGGCCACAAGTTGGAGCCCCTGACCTGCCAGGTCCTCAAATGCTAAGTCAGGTTGGGCCAGGGTGCATTCACGTTGTCCTGTGAATTCACAAAGCACTTTCCCAATTTCATCCTACTGTGGCCCGGGAAGTGGGAGTCAGACGGGGCAGCCCATGGGCACGACCGAGGTGGCCAAGAACCCCCCCAGCCAGGACAGGGGAACAACCGAGACATGGCGCTAGGGGAGCATTGAACCTGGCCTGGTCCAGGGGTGGTTGGGGGAGCTCTGAGAAGAGAGGATATTCAGCCTGGGGCCTGGAGGATGGAAAGGTGTGCAGATTTAGGGGAGAGAGAAAATGAACCGGGCAGGGGGAATGGTGAAGGCAAAGGTCCTGAGGTGGGTCTGTGTCTGGCGTGTTGGAAGAGCAGCGAGGAAAGGGGTGTGGCTGAGGAAGGAGGGGAGCTGGGGGGAGGCGACGGGGTCAGCAGGGACCAGCCGCAGTGGCCAGCGTCCACTGGGATTGGGCTGCCATTGTCCCCATTTAAAGCTGGAGAGACTGAAGCTCCGGGCAGATGAGATTGAGCTGGGGCTCAGGCCCAGGCGTGCCCGAGACCAGATCGCCCGTGGACTAGCCGTGTGGCCGCAGCCAACCTCTTTTCTGTCTCGTGAAGATGACACAGGTGGCACTGTGGGTGGGCCTGGGTGTCAGAGGAAACACGAAGTGGCCAGGCAGGCAGGTGGCAGCTGAGGCTGCGGGGGCAGATCATCTACCCAGCACCGCGCAGTGGGCCCGCTGACAGTGGGACGGGTAGGCTGCATTTGAACCTGGGCCTCCCTCACCCTGAGGCTCACTGCCTCATCTTAGCCTTGCTCTGTGACCGCAAGACACTGTCTTCATGGCCACCGTCACTGCTGTTGTTCACCAACTGCACACTCCCACCCGGGGCCACCCCTCTGCTAAGCCCCAGGGCTGGAAACTAAGGGCGCTCGCCTGGGCCATGCCCTGAGCTGAGGAGGATGTTAGGAGCCATCACCCAGAGGGGCAGCGTCACAGCCGGTGTTCACAGGCCCAAGACTTGGGGCCAGGGTTCAAGGTAGGCTGAGCATTCGGAGTCTGGGCTTCCCACTGGCCCTTCTAGAAGGTTCCTTAGTCGTTGTTCAGTCCAGCTTCCTGGGTTTGACCGACACCTAGACGCAGTAGGGGCTGAATGACAGTATCGTGGGAGCTGGTCAGGGGAGGCACCATTTCCCCAGCCCAGGATGAGCCCTGGAGGCCTCCGGAAGTGTCTGGGTGGCCGAGGGGCAGGGCTCAGAAACCCCATTTGAGGCTCCTCCCTCATTTTACAGAGACGGTGCCTCTGAGTCACCTTGATGACAGTGGAGGACAGCCCCCAGCACCGGAGTCCCCAGAAGTAAGACGCAGAGCTTTGGCGGCCCCACCTGTCTTGTTCTTCTGACGGTAGACCAGGTGGCCATGAGAAGGGCTGGGTTTGCTGTTTGCTAAGGTTTTGCATACAGCAGGTGCTTAATGAACGCCTGTGACTTTGGGGGGGTGGTGGGGGCAGGTGAGACTGCCCTGCCATGGAGGTTGGGCAGGGTAGGGTTGGAGGGGGCACTGGAAAGGGGAGCTTTGCAGAGTGTGTAGGAGTTTTCTGGAAGGAGGGCATGCGTGGCTTAAGCAAAAGCTCAAACTTGGAAGCTGAGTTTGAGAAGTTTGTATAGGAGAAGAGGTAGCGTCAGGTGCCAGGACCAGCAGTTGGGACTTGGGGGCAGGAAAAACACAGCCTGCTCAGCAGTGGGGCAGGACCCTGACCCCTCTTGCTACCCCCGCCCCCAGAGTCGTGCCCTGGTCGGCCCTTCACGGAGGAAGCCCTGTGAGAGCGACTTCGAGACTATCAAACTCATTAGCAATGGGGCCTACGGGTGAGTCCTTGGGTACCCCGCAGACCCATTTCTCAGATGCCCATGGGGATGGCTGAAGCCCACACAGCCCCTGAGTGTGCAGACAGGGAAACTGAGACCTGAAGAGGGAAGTGGAGGCACAAAACAGCAGGGGCATGGCCTTGGAAGGGCTTGTCCATGATCTAGGTCCTTACTTACCCCAGGTGTTTGGGGTTCTAGAAATCTGGGGATTGAGCAAGGGGAAAGATGGCCACACGATGGCAGTAGCGTGCGCCAAGCATTCTTTAAGTGCCGCTTTGACAGATTTGCTTTGGGGGTGGGGGGAGGAGTCCCTCACAGCATAAGACCGTTGTGGGGTCTGGGACGGAGGGGGGCTTGCGGAGGAGGCTTCTGTGTCCAGGCTTATGTGTATGCAGCACAGTGGGGGGTCTCTGGGTCAGAGAGCTCCACAGGGCAGGAGCAGCTTGGGGTCTTTAATAGCCCCAGCGTTTATCTTATCTACAAGGTATGCAAAACCAGCAGGTTCTAAATGGCTAAAAATCTGCTTATTTGACTTGTAGTTAAAGCGATTTGAGTGTGTGCCAGCGGGGCTTTTGAGCTAACGGGTCTCAGTCGGCTGTGAAGAAATAAACAACCTAGGGGTCATCTTTGGCTCTTTATGTGACACCAGGGAGAGTGGCTTAAACCCACAGGGTGACCGCTTTGGGAGAAGGGAGGGCCGGGTAAAGAGAACAGGTGTCCCGGGTGGAGGGCACAGCACAGGCAAAGGCACAGAGGGTTGGGTTCTGGACCCAGGTCGGGTCCCAGTGCTTGCCGGGACCTGGATCTCGGGCCTCAGTGAGCCCAGCTCCCCCCCTCCACCCCGCCCCACCCCGCCCCAGGGCCGTCTACCTGGTGCGGCACCGGGAAACGAGGCAGCGCTTTGCCATCAAGAAGATCAACAAGCAGAACCTGATCCTTCGCAACCAGATCCAACAGGTCTTCGTGGAGCGCGACATCCTCACCTTCGCTGAGAATCCGTTTGTGGTCAGCATGTTCTGCTCGTTCGAGACCCGGCGTCACTTGTGCATGGTTATGGAGTATGTGGAAGGTGCGGTCACTGGGGCTTGCATGCCTCCAGAGCAATGGAGAGCTTACTCCTTATCCAGAAGAAATACCTTATCCCTCCTTTGATCAAGCCCGCAGTCTGCTCTGTCCTCCATGGGGTCCCAGCCTGCCTTGGGGGACCCTCAGTCTGTGGTGGGGGACCCAGCCTCAAGGAGTTGGAACTGGGGGATCCCAAAGAGAAATGTGAGGGCAGGACTCTAGGGTACAGGTGTAGGATGGACAGCCTAGGCAGGAGGGACTGGTGGGCAAGGGCCTAGAGGCTAGAGCAGCGAAGGGAGGGAGGCGTGCGTCCGAAGGACTAGGCGGGTTGGGGGCCAGGATGAGGAGTTGTGGGATCAGGTTTGCAGTTCAGGAAAGAGCAGGGCCTTCAGGTAAGTGCAGGACATGCATTTACCAAGCTGCTGCCGGGTGAGCAGAGGGAGCATGCACTTAGGAGGCACCAGCTGTATACAGGGGAAGGGACTGTGCACTTAACAGAGCTGCTGCCCTGCCAGGGGAAAATCAGAAGGCAGGGTCTGCCTATCCTCCCGCCCCTCCCAGGTCCCCACCCCAATTCAGGACAGATTGCAGACACTTTGCAGAAGGTGGGGAGGGCACATAGGCACAAGTCTGGGCACGGCTGTAGAGCCGAGGGCCTCTGTGAGCACGTCCACCCCTCTGCAGGCGGCGACTGTGCCACGCTCCTAAAGAACATGGGCCCGCTGCCCGTGGATATGGCCCGCATGTACTTTGCCGAGACGGTGCTCGCGCTGGAGTACCTGCACAACTATGGCATCGTGCACAGGGACCTCAAGCCAGACAAGTGAGTGGGCCTGGCTCTCAGGGGGCGGGGCTCAGAGTAGCCTGGGGGCGGGGCCTCTGAGTGGGTCTGGGACTGCTCAGGAGCCCCACCATCTAGATTCTGCTGGCATCATGGGCCCCCTGCTGGTAGAAAGCAGGGATCTTGGCAATGTTGAGCACCTGGTGTGTACTGAAGAGAGCAGGTATTTAATACGCACCTGCTGTGTGCAGGGGAAGGACAGTGCACTTATCGAGGTGCTGGCCAGGCAAAATGAGGGGGCACAGACTGGACAGGGGAAGGGACGATGCACTCACAGAGCTGCTGCCACACAAGGGAAGTGAACATGCACTTATGAGGCACCAGCTATATACAAAGAGCAGGGACATGCACTTTGCAAGACCTTATGTGTAGAGAAAGGGACTGCATGTCTTGAGCTCCTGCTGTGTATTAGTGCAGGGAAGAAAGAGAGTCCTAGGGTGTTTATTTTATCCTAGTTTCTAGTAAGCACCTACTGAGTGCCCGGTGCTCTCTGGGTGACTGAAAAATTCAAGTGTGAGTGTGAATAATCCCTCATGCTTTGTAACCCTTCCATAATTTTCAAAGCACTCTTCCCTACATTAGTTGAGCACCTCCTGTGTACAGAGGAAAGGGCTGCTCTTTCATCAAGTGCCCTTTGGATACCAGGCAAGAAGTGTGAGTTTCTCAGGTACTTGCCATGTGGAGGTGTGGACATAAGCATTAAGAGTCTGCATGTTTTCAGGGCATCTTGTAGTTTGCAAGTGGCTTAGAAAACAAAGCACCTGTATTTGGCACCTGCTGTATACCTGGGCCTGTGCTCACCGTTTTAAGGAACCCAGACGGCGGTATAGCTAACTTCTCACACACTGATGACCCTTTTGAGTTTATAAAGCACATTTTTTAGCTGGTGGTATTTAATGGGCACCAGCTATGTAAAGGTGATCAGAACAACAGTTATTAGGCAATGACTGTGTGTCAGTCCGCGAACCCTGCAGCTATCTTTTTATAAAGTTTTTATGTTGAGGTCAGCATGCATTGAGCACCTACTGTGTGCCAGGGACATGGGTCTCTTTCCAATGGAGGTACTTGCTATGTGGAGGCGTGAAGAGCCCCACATGTTTTCAGGGCCTTAAGAGCCCTGCATGTTTTCAGGGCATCTTGTTGTTTGCGTGTGGCTTAGAAAACAAAGCAAATGTGTGTTGGCATCTGCTGTGTTCCTGGGCCTCTGTGCTCGACACTCTAAGGCTGCTTGCTTTGTGCCCATTGGGCCTCTGTGGGATCATCCTGGAGTGGGATCTTCCAAGTGTCCCCAAGGCAGGGCCTGCCCCTCCCAAGCTCAGGACCCTCATCTGAAAAACGGTGTGAGAAGGTGCAGCCCTGGAGGGTTCAGGGAGGGATAGGCCCGCACAGTAGGTGCTCCAGAAAAATATTTTTTCCTCTTTGCTTCGGAAAATTTCAAATACACCCCAAGTCAGGAGAAGGTACATTTGTTTGCTAGGGTTGCCCTAACAAAGTACCACAGACTCGGGGGCTTAAACAACAGAAATTTATTCTCACAGTTCTGGAGGCCAGAAGTCCAAGATCAAGGTGTCGGCAGGGCCGTGCTCCCTCTGAAGGTGATGGGGAAGGATGTGTTCCAGGCCTTTCTCTTGGTTTCTGGTAGTCCCTAGGCTGTGGTGCTCCTCCTGTGTGGGTGTCTGTGTCCAAATTCCCCCTTTTTATTTTATTTGTTTATTTTTTACTTTCTAAAATATTTATTTATTTGGTTGCACTGGGTCTTAGTTGTAGCAGGTGGGCTCCTTAGTTTCGGCCCACCAGCTCCTTAGTTGCAACATGCATGTGGGATCTAGTTCCCTGACCAGGGATCGAACCTGGGCCACCTGCATTGGGAGCTCTGAGTCTTAACCACTGGACCACCACAGAAGTCCCCAGAAATTTATTTTTAAATGGGCAGATGTCCCCAGGAGGTGCATGAAAATGTGACTTTATAAAATAAAGCTGGCACATATCATTTTATCACTTAAAATATGTATATCCTTAAGCTTGCAGGAGAACATGAACAGCAGCATACATCGTAGGTGTGTAAGTTTTAAAAAACTGGTGCGCCCATGAGAGGCACAAATATTTCTGTACACAGCAGGTGCTAAAGACATGTTCACTTAACAATAGGCGCTTACAAAGTATTCAGTTTGTTAAAATCATGGATGCATGTACAAGAATATGCTGTAGATCCTCCCCAGGAGGTGTTCACAAAACGTTTTAATGCCCAGTGGGGACATGCTGTGATTCTCAGGAACTTAATTTTTGCACAGCGGAGTATACAGTAGGTGCTCAAGAGCAACACCAGATGCACCCAGTTGGTGCACAGAGATGTTTGCCAAATTTGTAATATTGCCCAAGACCCGCTGCTTCTTTCAATAACGTGATCATGCACAGGCAGTGCTTTCTGATCCATGGAGGGGTTGGGCCGCCTCCTGTAGGACCAAGTTCCGGGTGGGCGAGGGGGCGGGAGCAGCCAGGCACCTCGGGCCCCCCAGCCCTGAGCGCACCACCCGCCTGCCCACAGCCTGCTCATCACCTCGCTCGGCCACATCAAGCTAACTGACTTCGGCCTGTCTAAGATCGGGCTCATGAGTATGGCCACCAACCTCTACGAGGGCCACATCGAGAAGGACACTCGGGAGTTCGTGGACAAGCAGGTGGGCGGGGCTGCCTCCCTCTGCCCAAAGCCTGAGCCCAGGACATGGGGAAACTTTGCAGCAAAAAGGAGAAAAGAAACCATCCCTGTAATTCTACCCACACTTTCTTCCCTGGCTGGGGGCAGTCTTTCATCTCCCTGTCCCACCTGGCCCAGGTATGCGGGACGCCTGAGTACATCGCCCCCGAGGTGATCTTCCGCCAGGGCTACGGGAAGCCAGTGGACTGGTGGGCCATGGGCGTCGTCCTGTATGAATTCCTGGTGGGCTGTGTGCCATTCTTCGGAGATACCCCTGAGGAACTCTTTGGCCAGGTGGTCAGTGGTGCGTTCCCCCTGCCCTGTCGCCCGAGGTTTAAGTCTCAGCCCCACTTTGGCTCTGGTTGGTGGTCCCCCCTGTCTTTGCCGGAGAGGGGAGCAGGCCCACTTGTGGATTGGGCACCTATGGCGTGCCTGGCCCCAGCTGAGCCCTGGGGACACAGCCAAGGGCGAGAGGGACAGTAAGGGAGATAAAAAATGCCGAGGAGGGAAGGAAGCAGGAAGCAAAAAATGCCGAGGAGGGAAGGAAGCAGGAAGAAGGGAGGGGGCGGGGGGGGCAGGTGCAGGGGTACTATATTAAATAGAGAGTCACGCAGGGCCACACTGGGTGACGTGTGGGCAAAGACTTAAAGGAGCGAGAGGGAGTCACAGAGATGGATGAAGGGAAGGTGCCCAGGGCGGAGGACACAGCCAGAGCAAAGGCTGTATGGGACCAAGCCTGGTATGCTGAAGGAGCAGAGGAGGCTGATGGCTTGGAGCATAGAAAGGGGAGGTGGTAGGAGGTGCTAGGAAGCACTATCCCCTGTCCCTCATTCCCTCCTCTCATTTTAGATGAGATCATGTGGCCAGAGGGGGACGAAGCCCTTCCAGCTGACGCCCAGGACCTCATCACCAGGCTGCTCCGACAGAGCCCCCTGGACCGTCTGGGCACTGGTACGTAGGTGTGGGTGAGGCCCAGGTGGGTGTGATGGGGGCTGGGGTAAACAAGAGCTCTATTTGAGAGGCTGCATAGAGGAGGGGGACTTGAAACTGGGGTTTTGAAGGATGCATAGGAGCTCACCAAGAACTAGCATAAGATTTTGAAGAGTAGCAGGTAGCTGGGTCTGGTTCAGACAAGGGGCACTGAGGCTGTGTATATGAGCCTGCCAGGTTGCCATGGGCTGTGTCCTGCGGTCCCCAAGGCCCATCCCAGTGGATCCCACTGTCCCAAGTTTCCCCAGCTACCAAAATATTGATTAAGGGACTATTTTTTTTTTTTTTTTTTTTTTTGCGATACGCGGGCCTCTCACTGTTGCAGTCTCTCCCGTTGCGGAGCACAGGCTCCGGAAGCGCAGGCTCAGCGGCCATGGCTCACGGGCCCAGCCGCTCCACGGCATGTGGGATCCTCCCGGACCGGGGCACGAACCCGTGGTCCCCTGCATCGGCAGGCGGACTCTCAACCACTGCGCCACCAGGGAAGCCCTTGATTAAGGGACTATTTAATATTCATGCAGCCACCCATTATGTGGCCACTACAGATCACAGTCAGGATGAAGCTTGGCCACTGGACAGGACTATGGGGGCTGAGGTTGGGGAACAGGATACAGTCAACTCTGCTTCATGCAGTCAGCTCTGCTCCATGGGGTAGAAACATGTGGAAAAATCCCCCTCCTAAGGTTCTGGGGTTTCTCCAGGTGATGGGATCTCAGAGTCCAGCAGAGGGAAGAGCAGGGCCTGGGTTCTAGCCCTAGCTTGGTTCCCCTATGGGCTCTTAAAGGATGGCTCGTTTCCCCTCCCATCTTTCTGGTTCTGTGTTGGCCAAGTTTGGGTTCATAATTGGCCCAGGGGGCCATGGGGGGTGGGGACCAGCAGGGCTCAGCCAGGCGTGTCTGCAGGAGGCACCCACGAAGTAAAGCAGCACCCCTTCTTCTGGACACTGGACTGGGCGGGGCTTCTGCGACACAAGGCTGAGTTTGTGCCGCAGCTTGAAGCTGAGGACGACACCAGCTACTTTGACAGTAAGCAGGGGTCCAGGAGGTGGGCTGTGCTGTCCCACGATCTCCTGGGGTGGTGAGGGGTGTCTAACAGGGTCTCCACCCCAGCTTGGTGGCTCGCCTTGGGCCTGGAGCTTCCAACTTCCTGAGCTTTCCAAGAAGCTGGGGCATGTCTGCTGGCTGCCCCCCTGCCTGGATTTCCTATGCGTCGGAGCTCAGGAGGCTGTCGCATCACCTTGGGTTGCGGGAGGGGAAACCAAGGCACTGCGTGTGGCAGCCCTTGCCTGGGGGTCCCCCAGCAGGTTCAGCTTCCTGAGTGTCAGCCCTGACCAGGCATGGAGCCCTGCCTGTCATACAGGAGGGTGGGGTGCCTCACTCAGCTTTGGTGGAGGGGGTCCCCTCGAGCACTTCAGGTGAGCTCAGAGAAATCTCCTTCTCCCCACTCGGGGCTCTGGCCAAACACAGAGTAAACGCCCCCGGCTTCCAGTGCCTCCTCCAGAACTTGATGTGTGATCTTGGGCATGTCAGAGGTCCTCTCTGAGCATCTGTTTCCTTTTCTGTAAGATGAGGAACATCCTTTATGTTTGAGATGCACAATTTTACCTAACTCTGGGTAACCCATCTTAAGGGTGAGGAAACTGAGACACAAGAATTCCCATCCACAGTCCCACAGCTTTTAGGAACACAACTGGGATTTATTCCCAGATACTAAATCTGCCGCCCAAGCCTCCTCTGGTCCTTAAACATACCAAGCCTGGTCCCACCACAAAGCCTTTGCCGTGACAGTGTCTCCCCACATGGGAGGCCCTCCCCACATCACCCCACAGCCCCTGTGTCCACCTCCCCCAGCATCAGGTGGGCTGCACATGCCTTTCCGTCCCACAGCACGCTCAGAGCGTTACCGTCACCTGGGCTCTGAAGATGACGAGACGAATGATGAGGAGTCATCCACGGAGATCCCCCAGTTCTCATCCTGTTCCCACCGGTTC